CAGTTGAAAAGATCGCATTATCCCAAAATTGAAATTATATGAAAATCAGATTAAACTCAAAGAAAACTGTAGGAAATGAAATATTTCATACTGTTTGATTACACACTGCAATTTAGAAAGTGGTCAGATGCACCATATGTTTTATTTGGGATTACACTTTCTTAGTAAAGTACAAACTCTAGTACTTTTGGGGGTTGAGTCTCATCCGGGATTCGAACCCACACCCTCAGAGTCAGCCACCAAATCGCCAGCACACAGTCAGCCGCCAAGCCCGCTCAGCCACCACGGCTTCCACAAAAATGGAAGTCGGACAACTGGTAGTGTACCCCTCTAATAAGTATAAATTGGCACGGCTCCCACAACCGAAAGCTATGATTACACAATGCCATTTAGAAAGAGGCCAAATGCAACACTACGAACGTGTAATCCCAAATATAATATACGTTGCATTTGACCACGTTCTAAATGGCATTGTGTATTATCAAAGCTTTCAGTTGTGGGAGCCGTGCCAATTTATACTTATTAGAGGGGTACATAAATTCCGCAGTCTAGACTACCAGTTCTTCGACCACCAGTTTGGTGGAAGTCGCGGTGGCTGAGCGGGTTACGTGGCTGACTTTGTGTGCTGGCGATTTGGTGCCTGATTCTGAGGGTGTGGGTTCGAATCCCTGATGGGACTCAACCCAAAAGAGTACTAGAATTTGTACTTTACTAATAAAGTGTAATCCCAAATATAACATGTTTCATACTCCGGAATACTTTTGCAAACATCATGCAAACACTGTCGTGGGTTACGCCGATGTTATCTAAAATTAGATGAATTAGGTCATAGTTGTTTACTGTGTTGAAAAGTTTACTATTGCATGTTGTTTGTTACTGATGCAAATTGTTGTTTTTAAAGTTGGTGCTATAACTTGTTCTCTTCGAAAATAATAACGTAACGAATAAATGTGTACTTTAGAAAACTCATTTAAACTAAGAAGAAAATGTATGTGTGTAGGCGTGGTCTCGTCGCTATGTGGCTGAAATAGAGCCGATGCTACGTAAAATCTTAACTCACTGATTCACTGATACCTATTCATGAATGCAACATGACAGTAGATTCCTACACCCAATAAGCCACTGGTTGTTCGTTTGTTTGTGTGGTTTTTTGTGTGTGTGTTTGTATGTATGTTTGTTTGTGTGTTTGTTTGTTTGTGTGTTTGTTTGTATGTTTGTTTGTGTGTTTGTTTGTGTGTTTGTTTGTTTGTTTGTGTGTGTGTGTTTGTATGTTTGTTTGTTTGTGTGTTTGTTTGTATGTTTGTTTGTTTGTTTGTATGTTTGTTTGTGTGTTTGTTTGTGTGTTTGTTTGTTTGTGTGTTTGTATGTTCGTTTGTATGTTTGTGTGTGTGTGTGTTTGTTTGTATGTTTGTTTGTTTGTGTGTTTGTTTGTTTGTTTGTTTGTTTGTGTGTTTGTTTAACGACGCACACAGCTATATGATGCCTCTCTGCAAATATCCCGTCTTGACCAGTCAGTTCAGTGATTGACATCATGAGCATATATCTACGCAATTTGGATACGAAGACACATGTCAACCAATCAAGCGATCCTGACCACCTGATCCCCTTAATCGCCTCTTCAGACAAACATGGTTGCTGAAGGCCAATTCTAACCCGGATCTTCCCATTAATTGATCGTTAGAGTAAGTGCACTCTTTACTCCACTGCATGATACACGGTGTATTGTCTTACTAGAGAAGACAACTCATTGTTCTTCCAAGAAAAGTGACATCATGTGTCTTTGCATTGTTATTGTGTTACACTTTCGAATATCAAATATCTCTTTATGCCGTCATATCCAGCGCCGTTGTCCGAACGTTGGTTTGCAGCAACAACACAACCCTTATCCGCAAGAAGGCTACTACATTCTAGAATCCGCATAAACCTCAATAGTCTTTATATAACAGAGAATGTATGTACGTTGATGTGTGTTTGAAATGGCAAACAATACCATGATACCCACGAACGTTTGTTCCCTTTTTAGGAATTTAATGAACCCACGGTCAAAAAACAGAACTGCCAATCTTGTCTGTCTCACAGTCCCCGAACCGCATTATTTTCTCCTTTGGGACAGCCCTTTCTGCCATGCTAAAACCATAAATGAAGCACGTCTAGATTTCCTCAGGTCAGATCTCACTGACGCTCCATTTCACTTTAAGAATAATTGCTATCAAAATTCCATATATAGTATGACCAGAGATTATTGAGAATATTAGGAATATGTTTAATTGGATTTCTAGTATAAACAACCTTGACCAGCTATCAAGTGCTTGGTTTCATTCAAGAGAGACAACTCCGTTAATCCGTTTCATTAGTTTGTGAAGAGTTATCCCCATCCCCCTTTGTTTACTTGCTAGCAGACGACATTTTCAGTGATCCTCAGTATGGATGGTTTAGAGAAGAGGAAGTTGATTTTAGAGTATTATAACAAGGACATCAGATCAGTTAAAGTGATTTCAAGTAGATAAGGCATCCCTTTATCCACTGTTTATCGTGTTTTGAAAAATATTGCAAATGGATATGGCATTGAGCACCAGGGAGGCGCAGGTAGGCCCAGAAAATTGACTGTCGGTGACAGGAGGCGGCCCCCATTTTCTTGTTTCTAAAAACAAACGAAGGAGTTTAGAAAACTTAAGGTTGGATGTGATTGATAGAGGAACTGTGGCTGTCTTTAAGGAGACAATTAGAACTGAGCTGCATGCAATGGGTTGGCAGAAAAGTCGAGGAATTCCATCACCGATCATGAAACCTAAACAAAAGGAGCGAAGGATGAACTGGTGCTTACAGCATAGAAATTGTAACTGGGACATTGTGATTTTCTCAGAGGAAAGTTCTGTGTGGCTGTTTCCTAATACACTGAAATTCTGGACCAAACAAACTAAAAAACCTTTGTATCAGCGCCTAAAGTACAGTCCGAAATTTAACGTGTGGGATGGCATATCTGTGTTAGGGGCAACGCCCCTCTGTGTATTTAAAGGGAATATGAACAGTGAGCGGTACACAGAGATTCTCGAGGGACATTTACTTCCATCTGCTCACGTGTTCTATGGACAGTTTTGGATTTTCCAGCAGGACATCGACCCAAAACATCGTTCAAAGCATTCACCGGCCTGGTTTCGGACCCAAAATATGACATTATTAGATTGGCCAAGCTATAGCCCTGACCTAAATCCAATAGAAAATGTTTGGGGACTTATGAAGGAAAGTGACAATAAGAAACATCTGACAAATATTGCTGAAATGAAAGAAGAGGTGGTCCGATATTGGGACAGCATGGACCACGACTTTCTAACTTCTTTGATTAGTAGTATGCCCCGCCGCATTGAAGCCTGCATTGCTGCCCATGGTGACTTGACAAAAATACTAACTGTTCACCTGTCTTTGAATCTGGAGTTATGTTCTGCTAATATTCACATTTAATACGTGAGTAATGAGTGAAAATTTAAAAACAATTTACAATATTAAATTCTCAATAATTTCTGGTTGTACTGTATACTAAGCGTTAGCTAGTCTACTGCCAGTCTGACATAAGTTTGAAAATACACAATGTCATAAATATACACCGTCAGCTCCACAGTGCAACAAGTATTGATAACGGAACGATGGAGATTCTACTGGGGTAAAAGGCAGTGGCATTGAAACTGATATAAATGGACCACGAAAAACCAGTGAGTGGGTGAGTATGGTTTTACGCCGTTTTTAGCAATATTCCAGTAATATCACGGCCGGGGACACAAGAAATGGGCTTCACATATTGTACCCATCATGTGGGGAATCGAACTCGGCTCTTCGGCGTGACGAGCAAACGCTTTAAACACTAAACTACCCAACTGCAAACCGCCCCGAAAAAACAGTGACATCAGGTGCCCACGAAGACGTAGTCGTGCCCTGCCCTACTATTAGAACACTGTCATCAACCACTTCGAAAGCAAGATCCATATATAATATTTTTCAAGTTTAACATTTACAGAAACGTGTATGTATGTATAAGTATGTTCGTATATGTATGTATGTATGTATGTATGTATGTATGTATGTATGTAGTATGTATGTATGTATGTATGTATGTATGTATGTATGTATGTATGTATGTATGTATGTATGTATGTATGTATGTATGTATGTATGTATGTATAAGTGTGTATGTATGTAGTATGTATGTATGTATGTATGTATGTATGTATGTATGTATGTATGTATGTATGTATGTATGTATGTATGTATGTATGTATGTGTGTGTGTGTGTATGTATGTATGTATGTATGTATATCTGTGTGTATGTGTGTGTGTGCGTGTATATGTATGTATGTATGAATGCATAGATACATGCTAGGATGGATTGATTGATACATGCATGCATGTATGCATGTATGGGTGGATGGATGGATGGTTTTTTTTATTAATAATTAAATATACAATTTTATACATATATGTGTATATGTACGGGTGCGTGTGTGTGCGTTTGCGTGTGTGTAATAATCAACATGTGTGTGTGTGTGCGTGTGCATAACGGACGGGGTACATGATGGTAACTGTAAGTTTCTTCACGTGTCAAGAGCCAAGTCATTCATGCAAAGTACAATCACAGAGACCCATTCATAAGAACAGAACAAAAACGTAAAACAAAGATAGTACCTTTAGGAAGGCCCCCATGGATGTCCACGCACATTCTATCATTATCAGTGTGTTATCAGCAACCCGTATGTCCTCCCAGTTACAACGAGGTTACCTCCGTCCCGTCATATAACAGCTGTGTAGATTATTATGATTGTTATACAACACCGATATGGTTCTCAGCCGGTGCGGAAAGCCATTACAGCCTTGGAATATATGAAGCAGAATGGTAAATCTTGATGAAAACCACATTTGATTAAAGCAGCTTAATTGGCAAAAAGCAATGGCTTAGAAGTACTTGCTTGTACTTTCCTATCGAAGTTGTCGTAGTTTCTCAAGGATCTTACCAGCAATCGCCTAGTAGGACACGCCATGATTTCTTGCAAGATGCTCTGTGATAATTTCTAGGTCAAACTGTTTTCCCAACACTCTTTACGGATATTAGCTGTGACTCCACGGCTCACACACACTGAAACAGATTCCGCTGCTTGTTAATCCTTCCACTGGCTACATGATAAATATAAATACGCATCAAGGCTTAATCTATTATGTAGGTTATTAGAAAACGTGGTGACATCTACATGTAAACATAACGAAAAAAATGCTTTTAAACAAATTGTTTGAACTTTAAGGAAGGGATGCATAGCATAACATAACTTGTCATTTTGCTAAGCATCCTCAATCTTCGTATTTATTTTGCAATAAAAATGGTGATGGATTGTTAATGAAAACTTACAATTTCTGTTATTGTAGTTAAAAGTTTCAAGACCATTTCTTGCATATCCTGGTATCTAACACGATATACATGCTAAACGTACGGTAAAAGGGATTAACTGATGTTTTAATGTTTTAATGTTCAACCATACATGACCCCAAACTCTTCATAACATATTTTAGAAAATATAATAATATCAAACTGACAATGACACACAATGCTATGTATAACTTTTGAGCATGATTAAAAACACTGTCCTAAGTAATTAATTAGATACATATGAGAGTTTAAACTCAGAAAGACAAGAAAATTGTACTTAGGTATGTATCAGCAAATCTACAGTGGGTTCACTGTGCCTTTCTGTCGCATTCACGTGACTTGTGTATCCTTTGATGCAACGCGGAGAGTCGCTCAAAATCGCAGTCGCTATTCTGACATAAACACAGACACTCGTTTGGCTTTACTGTTACAAACAATATGAATGGTGTGTGATGTAAATAACTGAGAATATGTACCTGTCAAAAAGTTCTTCATCGCGCCATATCATCCTTTGTTCCTGAGTTAAACATTAAACCAGTCAATCCAACTTGCTCCTCTGTTGGCTTCAGTGAACGTTGTGTTAAACACGACTTTGGTGTCGAATTTCCTATCACGTTTAACTGGTTCTCGACATTCTGTTTCTAATATATGTGGGTTTAAATATCTCACGCATGCTTAAAAAGGAAAAAAAAGAATGATGTCAGGCGATTTATGTCGTCATAAAAAAGACGTCAATTTTACGTATATGGGATTAGATTTTTTTAACCCCAATTTTGTGTCTGTGCTTGGAACACAGTTGAAATAAAACATGTCTGTCATTGAATCAGTGCCCACTCAAATTACATTTACAGCTTCTTGGTGAGTTCAAAACCCAGGCGCTGAAAGGTTTGAATTTACTAAATGTCAACCTGTATGGCAACCATTCATTGCTGGTACAACGGACTAATCGACATTGCTGCTAGAATCGATATATGTCTACATATAACTTGTGGTAATGCACAAATGAGATGATCGTGAACGTCACCTTGGCAATATTCCATAATTAACTAGTCAAAAGAATATAAGGATCAACCTATTCTTTCAAATCATTACAGCTAATCTGTCAGAATTCGTTGATCTTAACGTATTGTGATTAGTATATAAGAGTAATATGCAGGAAAGCCAGCCGTCAGGTCGAAGACGTTTACTAGTTTGGTTACACCAATAAAAAGCTGTTTTACACACGACAGTGATGGGTACAAATTTAGGATTCGATCCCGAATCAGCGAATCCTGACAGAATATCCCATTGTGCCACCATTCTCGTAACAGAACAAGTGAAATATACTCCGTAATGTTGCGGTCGGGGTTCGAACCCGACCTTCCTCTGTCCATTTGGCGATGAAGACAGTTTGCTATTGTATGTTTCTATTCATACCATATTAATGAACTAAAACATACAGTCAGGTCTTAAATCTAATTAATAAATACGTTGAATAGGATAATCTCGGTTGTTCCTAATGCCAACAACTTTATGTGAATATATATGTTTAAACATACAGGCATATATCTATTATCACGATTGAGTTGTAATATCACCTGACCTTTCTGCAGTCAGAGAATAACTCCCTCATAAACAAGACGATCACAGAAGAGAAGAAGACATATATGTTATTTACGTGTCACATGCTCATAGAATCATAGATCACATATAGCAAAACTAAAATCACTGGAGCATGAACTTGTTGACACAAGGCTGTAGCCAAAGTGACTCTGTACCGTCGTCCTCGTAAATATACCGCTTCACAGATTTCTAAATAAAAGCGACAGATCTCTTTATTTATTCATAACAAATCTTTGCCACGGGCAGAGTCGATTGTATGATTTCAACTTTGTCATGAACATGTATTTAGTAATAATACCAGGTGTTCGGGAAGGTTGAGAACCGTATGGTTCTTGTCACCTTAAGGACTGACTGACTGACTGACTGAGTTTTGGTTTTACGCCGCTTTTAGCAATATTCCAGCAACATCACGGCGGGGGGACACCAGAAATTGGCTTCACACATTGTACCCATGTGGGGATTCGAACCCGGGTCTTCGGCGTGACGAGCCAACGCTTTAACCATTAGGCTACCCCATCGCCCTCACCTTAAGGAACAGCATCGGACATCATTTCGGTCACTACGACCTTAATCCTCTCTCAATACAATTGTATATATGATATGTATTGCTTGTGATCTCGCCCAGTTGAACTTTAGTTTTGTTTTGTTTTCTCTATGGATTTGAACTTCAGTTCCTCGACTTTATCCCCTGGATTTTACTGCCCTGAATTACTTTTCATCAACTCGTCAACATGTGTTTGGAAAGTGTTGTTGTTTCTCGTCGCCGTGGAAGGGGTTACGATATTATTTTTTGCTTCTTAATTCTTGATGTAGAGGATAAAGATACGATTTATAGGGATCTGCTGTTTTTTCCGATCCTACATACAGAGGACACAGAATGTGAAAACAGTTAGCCATACATTCGGGGGAGCGATATATGTCCACAAAACACTAACACATCTAAAAGCACACTTATTTCAGTGAGTGAGTGCGTGGGTGGATGCGTGAGTGAGTGTGAATTAGTGAGTGTATTGTTTTCTTTCAAATGTCAACCTTTCATGATAAATCAAGGAACATAAACCACAATCATCCTGAGCCTTTATATGCGAGTCAAAACAAGTAGCTGAAGTGTCTGTCGAGAAATCGCAGTAACCTCTCCAGACATTTATAGAATTGTCAGCGTGTGTTGGGATGATGCGGTTTAAAGGGAATGATATTTAATTTATTACAGATGCTGAGCACATTTGTCCAACCCACCACCTGCATCGTAAGGAGGTGTTCCCGAAAAGGCAGAAACTGCAAAGCTGTACACCAAGCCCACAAAAAACTCCTGGAAAAGAAATATCCGTAAAATAATTTATGACCTCAAAGTCTGGTTTTCTCCTGTATCGGGCAATATCCAGCCCCCCATGTAACCAAACATCGACTTAGGTGGTTCTTTGTGGCACAATCTACACTGGAGAAAACAAAAAACTCAGGACCAAACCTCTGCGACTCCATACCAAACACCAAGCTTCATGCTTATCATGCATTACAGTGCTAATGTCAACACATTTAAGTGTAAATATCAGATGGATTTATTTATTCTTATGCATTATATTCATATCATTTTAACGCCGTTTAGAACCCACAGATTGGAATCGGTTCTGGCTGACAATCAAGACTGGCTATTTTCTGGTGATGAGGTTAAAATGTTTATTTATTTTCAGATTCCTACAGCCCTCATTACATTACCACCAAGAAACCGAACATGTTTGGTTCAGTTGAACAAATACCAACATACAGTGGGATATATCTGTTATGACACATATATTTCTCCCCTCTAAAATATAGCATAAAATAATAATGCTCAATATCTATATCGTGCTTTTCCAGGCTTCATACCCTGCTCAAAGTGCACAATCAAATCTTTATTAGCCCGGTTAATTTAAGCTGCATGTGAGGCACTAGTGGGTTAATAGTCACATGTCATATCCCGCCGGGTACCCATTTTAGGCTGGATGAACAGAACAAACTCACCTGCCTAAGGCGAGACCCCATGAATCACATGTGCTTAGTTGTGGGGCAGGACTAAAGTCCTAGAAACTCTCAGGAGTTAAGCTGCCACAGTCGCCCATCCAAGGACTCTCCGCACTCAACGCTGCTTAACTTCAACTGATGTGTGACGTGAGGTTTATGCACAGGACATTTTCTGATGCTGAGTGAATAGGCTAGATTTCATGTAAACCTAAATTGGTTGTGTTTCCATTACAATATATGTATGACTAACCCGGGCCTTTCAACAAATATAGCTTTTTTAAGGACATTTCTGTGATGAGTACTCGTGAAACATTTTTTCTATTCATCATCACATACCATATGCAAATAGGAAGAGTGTGAGAGTTTAGTTTTTCGCCGTTTTCAGCAATATTCCAGCAAAATCACGGTTGGGGACACCAGTAATGGACTTCACACATTGTACCCGTGTGTGGAATCGAACCCGGGTCTACGGCATGACGAGCTAGCGCTTAAACCACTGGGCTACCCAACCGCCTCCAACGTCGGAAGAAGATAACGGCGATGACATTTAATACCCGTGCAACACAATAATGACATGCTGTTTACATAAGGGCTCAATTACCTGTCCTGAATATATATGAATAATTCATTTGAAGTTCGTATCATCACATTTCGTTTCGAAGTACACTTGTGTCAGAATATAGTTCACATGCAGTTTCTTACAAACATGCAAAATATCAAATGTATCTGTGGATGCATAAAAATAACACGTGTTTAAGTGTCAAGATGACACAAACGTGTTAATTGTAATTTGAATACTGTTGCGGGTTAATGGAGTAAATAGTGACATAGAAGCAGAAATCTCATGAACCTTTTGTTTTTATGATATATTTCTGTGGATGCAAATCTGTTGTTGAGTATTTCTTGTTCAATATGTTTGAAATATGGTAGCGAATCAAATATTAGATTTAAATATGTTTTGTTTATTTTTCAGTCAAAGTGTGATTTAAAATCATAATTCTAATTGTTAATCTAATTTGAATTTAATTTGAATTCTTTTTCTCGATATCCTAATAAATTCATCAATTTTGAAAGTTCTATTTCTCTCCCAGCTCTTTCTTTCATCCATTTTGCAAGGTTGCTGTGAATTTGACTTTAGATATGTACGATGGTGGAAATGCTCGCCCACTGTTTAATCCAGAACCCACGTGTACCATATGCCCTGAAGCTGCAAACATGTTCTTCGTCTGATCAGTGTCATTACACAACTGAACCCATACATCTGGATCTGGAAATAAATATTTCTTAGAGGAAATGCTTATTTCACAAAGGAATATGCCCAGCTTCATATAATGCGTTAAGATCCGCTACACGCTTGGAGGTTAAAAATAGACCTTTGTCTCAGCGTCTAACTGCGGGAACCAACGATGCTTCCACAATCATTGTTTACTTTGCAATGGAACCCGACCCCTTGCATGTATTTATATTTCTGCCCGTGTTGTTCCAGTTCATCGAGCACATGCTGCCTGCTTTCCCCAAGCTGGCGCCGTCCTTGGCATTGTTCAACCACATCCGCTACTAAATGTGTTATCCTTGAACAAAAATAACAATTAGCTGTCGTCTAGAAACCCCATGAGGTTCATTAGATAAGTTGGATACTCCTGGGCTCGATATGTGCTGCTGTTGACATATTTTTTTCTATTGCAGCACGTTTTTTAATGTTTCACCATTTCTCAAAATCTGTTTCCTCTGTGAAGAGAGATGTTTTATCATTTCAGGAAATGTGTTTTTCTCGAAAAAAGTGTTAATTCGAATACACGCTACCAGAAGGAATCTGTTATTTAAAGCGGTTGTAGCCTGTCGGGATTTTGTTTGTTTGTTTGAGTGGGATTTTATTGTTTTCCTTTTCATATTTATTAAGAAAAACGCCTTATACATATCACAACTATGCTTTACGCTCCGTGAAGAATTGGTCTGCATGCCGCAACCAATGCTTTTCCTAGAAGGCGCCTAAAGGTACGATATGTACTTCAGTTGTGTAGATCGATGCTCATGATGTCAATCACTGGACTATCTGGTCCATATTTAATGATCTGCATCACCCTAAAGCTTGATTATACCTGAGTGAGCTAAACAGCTAAGCATGTGCTTAAACTTGGAGTTTGGTCTTGATAACACATAATTATATTTCCCTCTGTTGAATGGTTGTAATACCGTTATTGGGGGAGAGAGGGTGGGGTGGGGGTGGTGGGTGTTGGTGGGTAATTTTAAACACATTTCCGCATAATCCAAACTGCCAAAACAGGATATGTCGCGTAGGAATAATTTCTATTACTTGAAAAACGTTGGCGCCACTCGCTTATAGCAAGACATGTCCGGAATAATTACAATATTTTTTACCAAGCCATGCATATGCTATATGTTACAAGACATTTTGATATTAGTCATGCAGATGTACAGTTGAGCACCGTTGTATGCAAGGACCGAAGTAATTATTCGAGTTATTTGAGGTTCGATGAATGAACGACTATGCAGGGATCAAGGTTTTTATTCGAGATAATCGTATGCTTGACTCATCAAAGTTGACTGTACATACTTCGTAGATACGTACTAGGTTCTTCCAGTGACATTTCTTTCATGATTGAGCGAGGTGGTTACACAGCAGAAACACGGAGTTATTTTTACTTTTTAAAATTCCGTGGCTGTTAGTATTCAACAATGTGTGGAACAAGGGAACCTTGACTTGCATCTGAGGTAACCGATCACGATCACCAGCATATACATTTATATCAGTACACTCAGGCCTAATAGCAGTCCCTTGGCCAAATGTACTCACTCTTTCACTCTGGTTTCACTGTAATTTGTTCGACGACATATAATTGTATGGAAAGCCAATGATGTCACTTTGGTAGAAGATTATAGTTTTTAAGCCTAATTTCGATATTATTATTTTTACTCAAACCAGACTCTTTCATTTATGTTTTTATCAACTAACTTCAGGCTCAGTTTCATGGGATTATACGAAGCTCTGTACACGACTTGCTTCCGATGTTTTTAACCCAACTCCAGAAATTACTAGGATTTTTAACATTTTAGTGCTATCGACATATATCAGTAACAGTAAACGAAGTGTCAAGACGCCGAGCTGTCATGTTTGATAACATATAAAAAGTCAAGAAAGTAATTTTTGTACCGGCGTGGTTAATATAAAAAGTAAACTTAATAATCCAATCAGATCGTGTTCCTATTGCACTGTAATATGAGTTTAATGTTTACAAGCAGTGTTCTGTGATGTGTGGTTTTAATCAGACATGTGTCACTTGGGACGCATATGAAAATATGAACAGATTTTGCTTACACTACTAGTTAGAAGTGTATCTGCGACAAATAACAGCTACAGCTACTCTCATTCATCCGAGAAAAACATCATCCGAACAAGCTATAGCTATAACATAGGAGACACAAGTTATGGAGAAAACCTTTAAATTTACATTAAACTGTAAAGCGACGTTTAGGTATAGATCTCTATAACGTCGCTATGCACAACCTCGGTACAGACTTTCTGATTGTGTCTATTTTGTCACCCGTTACCCTCTCAGAAATGACAATTAAACGATGCTGGGAACATATAAAGCTGAACACCGTTGTGTCGAAGTTGAAGGCACTTACGTAAATACTTCGAGTTATCCGAGGCTCGACACAACCGCAAAATAGAATCTAGTGATTAAATATAAATCACACAGCAACCAAGCTTTTAAATCGAGGAAACCGTTAGTTAGACATGACGGTGTTTACTTATGTACATACGATTAGATATACCAACTGCCCATGTTTCATTTATCCAGACCGTTTCGCGAAGAATTATTCACTCCGTATAAGCTGGTTACATAAATTTGGGAGACGTGCTAGATGTGTTTGTAATTACCGCAATGAATCACTGAGTGGTTGTAATGTGGTGATGAGCCATCTCTGGCGATATAATCCAGTTAGATTAAATTTGGACCATTTTCATGTGACCAAACATATAGCAGCGAATAAACAAGTTTTACAATATACTTTAGACATAACACCCAATGACATCCAACTAAGAGACATTACATCCAAATACAAACAACTAAAAGACATAACATCCAGTGGCAAACAGCTAAAATACAAAACACGCAAAAAAACAAACAACTAAAATGCATATCATCCAATGACAAACAAGTAAAACACAAACCACCCTAAAACAAGCAACTAAAATGCATGACACCCAATGACTAACAACTAAAAGAAATAACACCCAATGACAAACAAATAAAATACATAACACTCAATGACCAATGACAAGCAGCTAAAAGATATAACACCCAATGACAAACAACTAAAATACATAACACTCAATGACAAACAACTAAAATACATAACACCCAATGACAAACAGCTAAAAGATATGACACCCAATGACAAACAGCTAAAATACATAACACTCAATGACAAACAACTAAGAGACATAACACCCAATGACAAACAGCTAAAATATATAACACCCAATGACAAACAAATAAAATACATAACACTCAATGACAAACAACTAAGAGATATAACACACAATGACAAACAACTAAAATACATAACACCCAATGACAAACAGCTAAAATATATAACACCCAATGACAAACAACTAAAATACATAACACCCAATGACAAACAACTAAAAGATATAACACCCAATGACAAACACCTGAGAGACATAACACCCAATGACAAACAACTAAAATACATAACACCCAATGACAAACACCTGAGAGACATAACACCAAATGACAAACACCTGAGAGACATAACACCCAATGACAAGCAACTAAAAGATATAACATCCAATGACAAACAACTAAAATATATAACACCCAATGTCAAACAACTAAAATACATAACACCCAATGACAAACAACTAAAATACATAACACCCAATGACAAACAACTAAAATACATAACACCCAATGACAAACAACTAAGAGACATAACACCCAATGACAAACAACTAAGAGACATAACACCCAATGACAAACAACTAAGAGACATAACACCCAATGACAAACAACTAAAAGATATAACACCCAATGACAAACAAATAAAATACATAACACCCAATGACAAACAACTAAAAGATATAACACCCAATGTCAAACAACTAAAAGATATAACACCCAATGACAAACAACTAAAATACATAACACCCAATGACAAACAACTAAAATACATAACACCCAATGACAAACAACTAAAATACATAACACCCAATGACAAACAACTAAGAGACATAACACCCAATGACAAACAACTAAGAGACATAACACCCAATGACAAACAACTAAGAGACATAACACCCAATGACAAACAACTAAAATATATAACACCCAATGACAAACAGCTAAAATACATAACACCCAATGACAAACACCTAAGAGACATAACATCCAATGACAAACAACTTAAATACATAACACCCAATGACAAACACCTGAGAGACATAACACCCAATGACAAGCAACTAAAATATATAACACCCAATGACAAGCAACTAAAATACATAACACCCAATGACAAACAACTAAAATATATAACACCCAATAACAAACACCTAAGAGACATAACATCCAATGACAAACAACTTAAATACATAACACCCAATGACAAACACCTGAGAGACATAACACCCAATGGCAAACAACTAAAGAAGTGCTCTACGAAATTCCACTGTCTCATAACTGGGAATCTCACAATTGGGAGTTCTCACAAATGGGAGTAGACCATCTACGCAATTGGGATACGATGATCAACCAAGTCAGCGAGCCTCACCATCCGATCCCGATAGTCGCCTCTTACGACAAGAATCGGTAACTGAAGATCAATTCTAATCCAGATCGTCACGTTGTGCAGTTCAGCAAGATGAAAGGGAATGAAAAATATTTGATTTGTAAAACCTACCTTAAAACGACAGATCTCACCGTTTGCTGCACATATTCTCTGCCACATAACCACGCATCTGTTAGGTAACATACTCGAAGTATGCAGATATCAATCTTGTCATACTGAACCGTAGCAAAGGTTACACAAAAGCCTGACGTCCCTGTACAAAAGCTACACAGTACCTGGCCTGTTACACCCCGGCCGTTATAGAATTACTTTATCGGATTTATTATTCACGGATGTCAATTGCTGTATTACAACACTGGTCGGTTTGAATATGTGCATACTGCTTCTGTTTGAGCTGCGTTAAAACATCGTATTGCGGAGAAGGAAATAGAAAGAGACAAAACTGTGTTCATCGATTTTTATTTGCGATGCAATAAATGTATTGATATACCGTAGCGTAGTTCTGTGACTTTTTGTCTCAATATCTCCTATGTGGGACATAGTATCTCCTACATACGACTTAAACTTATCTCCTACATACGACTTAAACTTATCTCCTACATAGGACTTAGTTGGTTCTACATAGGACTTAGTATCTCCTACATAGGACTTAGTATCTCCTACATAGGACTTAATATCTCCTACATAGGACTTAGTATCTCCTACATAGGACTTAGTATGTCCTACATAGGACTTAGTATCTCCTACATAGGACTTAATATCTCCTACATAGGACTTAGTATGTCCTACATAGGACTTAGTATCTCCTACATAGGACTTAGTATGTCCTACATAGGACTTAGTATCTCCTACATAGGACTTAATATCTCCTACATAGGACTTAGTATGTCCTACATAGGACTTAGTATCTCCTCGAAGGACTTAGTATCTCCTACGTAGTACGTAGTATCTCCTACATAGGACTTAGTATCTCCTACATAGGACTTAGTATCTCCTACATAGGACTTAGTATCTCCTACGTAGTACGTAGTATCTCATAGGACGTACCATCTCATTTAGTGGGAAATACTAAATCCTACGTAGGATTTAGTATCTCTTAGGACTTAGTATCTCCTACGTAGAACTTAACAGTATGTTTATATTTGTGTTTGTCCACCTTGTGAACATGCCTAATGTCTCTGAAATGGCATTGTATTGATATAATGCAAACACAGCAAATATAAACATTGGTCACTAATTCGAACTCAAACTACTGCCACAATAACTATGTTATTAGATTTGTTCAATATTTAAATTAATGTGAAGGGAGGAATACTATTTGTCCTTTGAATAACAAATGTTTCTATTCTTAACGGTGTGGTTGTCAAGAAGCATTGGTGATATGTTTCAATATATGAGGTATTTCATCAACAAATATATGAAACATATAACGATTTCTTTCATGTGTAGGAGAATGAGTATGTTTTTTTAGCAAAATTCGAGCAATATCGCGCCGCACACGTACACGGAATCAAACCCGGGCCTTCGGTGTGGCCTTCGGTGTGACAGGCGAACGCTTTAACTACTGGGCTACCAAACGGCAACCTTATGTTTAAGTATATGGGGGTTAAGAAAACTAGTGCGTGGTATGTGTATGGTAGGGAGTTCGGTCCGGCAATCTAATCATCATATGACAGAATGTCAGTGCTAGCGGTTGGGTCTGCTTTTCACTGGTACATTTATATTTAAAAAGTGTCACGACCAGTTCTTTATTCCATTTCGCAATTAGTTTCTGATTATACTCCTGAACCAAATGTAGAAATAGCATCAAAAGCAGGTAATATGATACACCCAGCCTTATCACCCATTGTGCATACCTTGACCATGTTGAACACCAATACTGGTCAACCCGTGAAGATCCGGGTTAGAATGAACCTTCAGTAACCCCTGCTTGTCGGAAGAGGCGACTAACGGGATTGGGTGGTCAGGCTCGCTGACTTGGTTGACACATGTCATCGGTTCCCAGTTTTGCAGATCGATGCTCATGCTGTTGATCACTGGATTGTCTGGTCCAGACTCGATTATTTACAGACCGCCGCCATATAGCTGGAATATTGCTGAGTGCGGCGTTAAACTAAACTCACTCACTCAGTACTGGTCAACGTCCATTAGACCACGTTGTTGATACTCATACATATGATCTATGAACTAGACGAACAGCTAGTCTCTGAAATGAACATACGTTACAGATTTAAATAAAATAGAATACAATAAAAAGGAGCCCAGGCATTTTCTTCATTTTCATTATCCTGAAACTGTGGTAATCTTGACTTGCCACACATTCATTTCCATGGGCTACATTGGGTATATATGTTTCAGGTCTGTATGACAGACTAGTCTTTGAACATGTGGACACCGTTTCAACTGTGGGGTAAACAGTGCTTTTAGTAACCTGATAAATTCTGTGGCCAGTTCCATATCGAAAAGAAATTCTGGAGGGTGGAGGTGTCCTACTAATCACTGGATAACACTGTTACTGCTCCTAAGAGATCATAAAAGCATTTGGTCAGGACTAAAGAAACACTTTTGCAATGACGTTGTATATTGTCTACGTGTACAAGTGGACCCAAACAAGCAGAGTGGTGATATAAGATATAAGGAGTCTAAAATGGTGGCTAAAATCCATTTAAAGGTCACATAAACCCTAGGGGGTAAAAATACATAAATCACTAACTGGCATCGTTATAAATGAAACCCCGTCATTAAAACTACTCATTTCGACCTTTAATTGACTTAAATCGACCTTTTTGACAACAGTGCACAATTCTCACCCGCGAACGAAATTTCAACCAATCAGAGCGGCGCGACTCTGTGACGTCATATGAGGAATAGCTTTGAGGGCTGATGCAGAATTCATCTACATTTTAGGGGGTAAATTATCTTGTTTAAAGGCTTGTATAAACCTGAAATCGTGACAATTGTTGTGGAAAATGAAAGCTATATGTTCTCACAATCTACTGGCATTTAATTTTGTCTCCTGCTTTGCCTAGTTTCCGAGTTACAACTTGTTTTCATAGACGCTTCTGTCACAATTGATTGGTGTCGTTAGGCCCTATTTGTATAATGACTGATCCAAATTGATCCCATTTCTGTGTTTTTTTACCTCGATATTTAATCATGTCATGTAAAAATCTGTTTGTATTCTCAAAACAGTGTCGGCCCATAAGTTTTCACATGCAATACAGCAATTAATACTCCCTTGTTGTAACCCGTGTTAGGTGGTATAAACCTACACATGTTGTTTGTCATCATTCACTTGATGGTCAGTTAATGAATTTATAACAGGTATAATTAGTGGTAACACACTTAGATTACCCGACAAAGGTTCCCATTTGGCATTTCTTGTGTCTGGAGTAAATATTCAACATTATGAACATCGATCAAAGGATTAACCGATAACACGCTGATTGATTAATTACTTTTATCTTACACAGCGGAATTGTCAAAAGGTAGTGTTTATGTATGTAGATTTACTAATCTATACTGAATACACTCTGCCGTGTCGGTGTCTGCGTAAAAACAACGTCCTTCTTTCAAAGGATTAACCGGCAATACATTGATTGATTGCCCATTATTGGCTAACTAAATTACTGTTTTTAATGAAAGGCGGACATTATGCAATTAGTTGCCAGGTGTGCTATCTTGGGTGACCAATGAGACTTTACACCAATACCTGAAATACCTTTTTCGTATATTAAACTGTTAAAAGACACATCATTTGGAACAGTTTTGTGGATATTGATGGATACATTCCTCAAACAAGGTAATGGCCTGATATTGTTCCTATAACTTTAATCTGTTTTAATTTTAATATTTGCATTTTGTATTTTAATCATTTGTCGTAGCATTCAACAGAATCATTGTTTTCGCCGTGAAGTGTAATGAGACAGAAAACATACACTAGGGTGTGTGTGCGAATTATGATTCACATTGGCAAACTATAAAATGTCTAGATATTACAGTTCTGTTATAAATTCACTATAAGTATCAGCAGATCGTCAGCTTTTTATTTAGTTTCAAAATGTGTTATAAGTTGTGTCATGCAAAATCCTTTTGGTTATGATTCCAATACATATTTAACTACGAGTAGAAAGTAGTTTTGATTTTCTAACTTGATGAAAACAAACTATAATCTCATTAATTCTAACAGACTTTACGATTTTCAAAAAATGGCGGCGCCCTGTCGGGAACATCCGCCGGTCTGTGGATAAATGCTATTTAGGTTTGTTTTCACCGAGTTACAAAATCAAAACTACTTTCTACTGGTAGTAAAATATGTATTTTATTGATGGCCAATAGGATTTTGCATGACATAGCGTATAACATAACAATTTCTCTCCTGGCAGCGAGGTGGGTGTCAATATAATACTACTTACAATATTATTGTTACTTCGACCACAACCTCACTTCCGAGGAAGAAATCGTTATGTTACAAGTTGTGTTATGGAAAATCTTTATGGACATCAATCATATACATATTTTACTATAACTAGTAAGTAGTTTTGATTCTTTAACTTCCGTGAAGCGATCTGAACACAAGTAAGATATCGTTTCAGGCTTCCACAACGCTCGCTTCGCACTCACAAACATAACCCATTTAGCACGAACTGCGGGATCCTGTGGAAATCTGTGCATGGTGACACCATCACCCGACCCCTAGGAGCAATTGACGACAAAGCAACGATTCGGCATGTCGTCGTTCATGTCGAGAAATCATCAAAATGATGAGCGTGCTACACACTTTCTATACAACTAACTGAAAATCGTTCCTCATATGACGTCACTGCAGCGCTCTGGCGACAGAGTTACGTAACCTGTCTGTGGTTTCGTTGGCGGGCGAGAGGGAAGCAGGCGACTTTTTGGCCACTTTTAATCGCTCGGTATTAATTAACCACAAGTTTTCAAAGAATAAATTTGGTGTTCCGCATAAGACTAACCACAAATCTTTCATATGTAATGGTTAAAAGAGTAACAAAAAACAAAGTTTAGTGGTTCTTTAAAGGTCACATGCAACGTAAAACACAACTTTGCAGATTCTGATACCTTTCGGTATGGACATACCGAAACAAAGCGTCAAAAATGCAAATTCAACTTATAAAGTTAAAAAATAACGCGATGAAAAAAACCGCGCGAAATCGGAGTTCAAACGTTTCACTAATTTTCCCCAGACTTTTCTGGGGAATACGGGTTTCAACGG